ACGTGAGTGACATAAAATCAAATGCACACTTTACAGTTAGCTAATTCTATTTACATACCTACACAGGGAATTAAAACTATAAATTGACAAAAAGAAAATTATATATTTATGATTGTGCATTATGCGCACAGTTTGTCCAAACAACAACAACGAACTACTGAAGAGCAACGCTGCCGTCCATAATTAATTTACTCGAGAAGGTAACTAGCGGAAAAGGTGCAGAAAGCAGGTGCAATCGATGCCACACTGCCACACGATGGTCTATTTACGCATTGTGCTCACTACACTGGTGACCATAACCTGCCTGCTGGGTGACAATTTTGTGGAGCTCACCCAGCATCCCTTGCTGAAGGCATTAGCCGACAATGCAACTCATGCTGCAATTGGAGCCCTAACAGGAATTGCATTTGCCATGCAGTTTTATGAGCGGACGACTCAACTTTATGGCTGGATATTGATTTTCACGTGCTTTGTCGTGTCCTCGTTTATTGACTTGGACCACTTCATAGAGGCGCGTTCCCTGTACCTGGAAGTAAGTTTTTTCATTACCTTGAACTTGCCCATTATATAAATCATTGTCATTTATGTTTTTAGGATGCTACAAATTTGACGCGTCGTCCTTTTCTGCATTGTTCCAGCATTATTTTTGCCATGTTGTTGTTTTATATATGCACCGCGTGCCTGAATTACTTTCGCAGCAGCTTAATGCTGGGTGCTCTGCTCTGTGCCTTCATTACGCATCATACGAGAGACGCTGTCCGACGGGGCTATTGGCTGTGGCCCTTCTATGATCACACGGAGCGTATTCCACAGCTGGCCTACATTATGGGCACCATCCTAACGCCCTATCTGCTAGGCTATTTGCATAATGTCTGTCGCAGTGCGTGGGTGTTAAATTTCCTGGGTCAATATATTAAGCTAAGCGAGACGCATCGCAGTGGCTCACTCGGTAGCTATCGCTATTTGCAAGTATAAGATTGTGATACTCTGAATAATTATGGAAAACAATTAGGAAACATATATATATATGGATGCATCGTCTGGAACGTCACTAAACATAGTACCCGATCATTTTGTTTATGGATACAGGGTAACGAAATCTTCATTCCACATTTGCTTTCGTCCGTTATTCTCTTGTACACTGAGCGAACATTGGACATGACTCAGTCATAAGCCTAATGCGATCGAACAAGATAGCAAGAGAGATCGCTCTCTCAATTGCTCTCAGTACATTTTTGCATACTCTCCATTGCGCTCTCAAATGTATGCATGTATGTGTGTGCACCCTTTCCCTTTTGAGTGCGGAGTTTTGCAAAGCTATTGAGAGTATTTGAGAGGGTCAGCTAATGCGTGATTATTGTTGTGAAGCTAATCAAAAACTTGACGTGTTTTAGAAATTACTTTTTGAACGCACACGTACTCACGCACACGCACATGCGCCCATACATGTATTCGTATTTTATTTTATTTCTGTGCGTATATCTTGATGCCCGCAGAATTGAATAGTGGCTTGTTTGTTTTTTTCCAGACGTCGCATCTATGATTAGAGTTTTGACTACTACGAAATGCTTTTTAGGCTTCAAGCTTAATATATATATATTTAGATTAGCCCTAAGTGAATTTATGATCTAGTGAAAGACTCATATACTTCCACATTACAGGACACAATATTTATTACACTTCCATATAAGAGAGTACACAAAAGAATATATATATATTTTTATTTAACTAATGCATAGGTTTTTTCAACTAGTATCCAAAAGCAAAGATAATATCCAAATTTGTGATATATATAGATACATATATAGCAATAAGTATATAGTATATAGGGAGAAAAGCATAGCGCACAACTAAAATATATATAGAAGAAATTTGTAATTAATTTTTTTAACTAGGAAATATTTTTAATCAATCACTGTTATAATAAAATCAATAAATTGCCTTGTACAACAGCTGCTAAATATAAAGTGTATGATATATTTTCTATATATAGTCGATCTAAATTGAAATTCGCGAAATTCAAATGTTTTTTATAATTTTATATATGCTATTTATGGTTATTTCAGCTGAAAAAAGGGTCATGTACTAACATTTTCTTATTTAGTTTTCATTGGAAAATTTCTGTTTGCAATAAATAAGTAATTAAAACTGAATGTGGGAAAAGCGAGACACATCAAAACCCACAACAATGAATACACACCTATTTGTTTTTGTTTTTTTTGCTGCCGCACACCCACGCCCGCTGCCACGCCCACAAAGCAGCGCAGAGATTCGTTTGACAAAAACGAATGCGAATCGCTCGTGAAAGATCATTTCTATTTGGACCGCGTGCCCGTTTGGCTGACTGTCGTGTGTTCGTGTCTCTATACAGTGTCTGCTTACTCAAAGGAAATCGGCACAGTTTTAATTCAATTTCGATTTCGTTTTCAATTTCGTGTTCAATCTGGCTGATCAAGCGGGAGAGTGCGTGCAACCGTTTGCAGTAAGTGCAAAGCACTTGGCAACCAAAACAAATCAAGTTTAATTTGTTTTTTGAGCAATTAGTTAAATAATTTATTTGAGTTGTTGATGATTTCATAAAAATGTGCGACATTTTCATTAAAATGAATTCGTTCAGCTAAACAGCTTCCCATGTTCATTTAAATGCTATCAATTTACGCGCCGTTAACTCGCACACACATTAACAACTTCCTCACTTAAGTATCTATTATATATATACATATGTACATGTATGCGTGTGTGTGTGTGTGTGTGTGTGTGTCTTTTAGAGTTGTGTGTATGTGTTCAATTGAACGAGTCACCAAATTGAACTACTAAGCATGTGATGCAGCTCAATGCTACTCTGTTAGCTCTGTTAGTTCCTTAGTTCTTTACTGATTCATTTCGTTCCATCATCTCTGATCGGTTTGTTCCATTCAGCGTATCAGCAGCCAATCAAGAGTGAGTGTAAGCCAATGGACCAATAAGAACTTCTCAATTTGCCAACTCTAATGTATAATAACATCGGTAGATGGCGCAAGCTGTTTCATAATATTTACAAGTATACACTATGTATCTTATATATAGATCTATAGACGTTTACATATTAGTTCTATTTTGCACAATTTGTTAAAATGTACAAAAATAAATGCTGTAAATATTTACATTGAACGTTTCGCGCCAGCGAGAGATGGAAATAAATCACTGGCAAAAGGCGCAGAAGGCACATTAGCGAGCCGTTTTTCAAAATATGATTAATAATATATGTATATGTATATATATATATTTTTATGTATAGACACAGATAAATGTACTGATCTATAGCACCGATAACAATGCACGTTTCGCACAGTTAAACACCTGTCTAAAGTAAATAAAACATCAAAACACTTCTGTTGGGTATATATCCATTTAGAAGCACAGTTATCTCCAAACAATACTTCATTAGTCGGAGATTTCATTCGACAATCGACACACACGGCGCACATTACGTATACGCCGTGTGTTGCGACACCCTAAGACAGCTGGCTAATAAGAAATTATCAGAGATTTACGTTCGACCGCTGCTGCTATTGCTGTACATCCCCATCAATCTTTGCTGCACTTTGTGCCAAGTTTCAACAGCAACAGCTGCTCTAAATATAACTCATACGCAGCGTGTGCCACTCTAGAGGCGAGCCGAGGCGAGGTTGACAGCCTGAACGCATTTAGCTCGCACCCATTGCATGATGCACGCATCTTTTCACATGATTTAAGCGAACGGGTTGAACGAACTGTCAACCAAAAAATGTGAGCAACGCATTGCTCCCATTAGTTTTTATCTGTTTTATAATAATAATTACACATATATTGTTGCTTTCCGTTCTAAAATCAGACATTTTGGGGGTGCATATTTATTTGACAGACAGATTTTAGAGCGAACTCTTAAGTAATCAGCTAGAACTGAGAATTTGTAATTAGTCAATGATATATATTATAAATAAATCAATCACTCAATCGTGTAAAGGTGAGTGGAAATTGACGGCACTTTTGCAAGATGAACTCAACTCAAGATCATTCATGCTTTATGTCTATTGATAACTGCTCTACAGTATTTTAAAACTAATCAGATTTATTACAGCCTTTTTGCAAAGATCCCCAGCAATCAATTAGATAGTCAATCAATCAATCAATCCATTTGTTTAACATTATATAGAGCTCAATTCCAAAAATGAAAATCAAACTAGCTATTATCAATTGAAATCAAAGCAGTTGCTAGTCATTCATTAAGTCAAACAATCTATAAGTCAGTCAGTCAATCAATCAATCAATCAGCCGCAAGAAGATCGCCAAAGTCTTTGTTCTTTGTGTTGTTCTTAATCTGGATTTATGTGAGTAGCAAATGATATGAAAATATTTCAGGACAGCTTTATTATGTTTTATGTCCGATATATAAACACGTGGATATAGAATTTGAGAGCATATTCCATGTATATATGCAATAAATTGTGTGCGTGCTATTTGGCTTTGTCTAGCTTAAATCCGACTAGTCATAAGAATAAGACATATGCACACACACACAGGCACACACACATATACACACGCACACACACACACACATGCGCGATATATACGTTGCGTGTTGACAAGAAAAATCAGGAAAAATAAAAACTTATGAAAGGCAAATTTTGAGTAAATCAGTAATGAAAATTAGGCAAAATGGCAAATACAACAACAACAGCAACAACAATAATAAGAAGAGAGCATGCGATCAAGAGAGCAACAGCAATAACAACAACAATAATTTGTCTGGCACGGCAGCTGCCGGTATTTCGTGCTGATTTTGTTTTCAGTTTCAGTTTGAGTTTATTTTATTTTATTTTATTGCTGCGCTGTGTTTTTTTTTCTGCTTCGTGATTTTTTTTTTCTTTTCCTTTTTATTGTGTATATTTTAGTCGTTGCTGCGGCTGCTGTTGTTGTTGTTGTTGCTGTTGTCTGTCCAAGATTTCGGCTGGCTTTCGTAGATCATTCGAAATAAAATGCTTTCAATATTGTTTGAGACTCCGTTGTGAGACGATCGTCGCGCAGTGCTTGAATAAAAATCTAAATAGAAATAAGATTTAAAGACAAATAATAGTTTATATGATGTACATTTAGCAGTGCAGTTAATAGTTTATATACACAATAAAAAACTTCAAAAGCTGAAAAATAAATTGAAGCAAAATGAAATTTAATTGAGCGAGCAGCCAAACCATTTCTTAAAATTTCAATAAAACCAAAGAAGAACTGGATAATTTCTAAAATTTGAGCAATTTCAATTGAATTTGCAATTAAACAAATGATTTTTAGTTTATCTAAAGAAATCGCTTTGCGTTTCTAACATCATTTCGTAAAGATTTTGTGTTAATTGTTTACACGCGGCTGTAATTAATGTGAAGTGATCCAAAAAAAACGTAATTAACTTTAAAAAAAAGAGCATAAAAAATGTGCGAAAACGATTTGTAAATAATTAAAAACCCAAAATTGTATGTTCCAACTGAAGCAAAAAGTAGGCCAAATATAAATATTACATATACGCCACCGTCACAAGGCATCAACCCAGCTCGCTTGCACTCTCTGTCTCTCTTTCTCTGTCTATCTCTCTCTCTCTCTGTCTGTCTCTGCCTTCCGCTCTTATCAATATTGAATGAGCCCAATGAGTGGACTGCGTCATCAGCTAAAGGTGAGTAGCATCACATCGCATAAAGTAACTAAAACTTCCATGTTTCCCCCTTGCACCCCACCTAAAAACCTGAATCGCATTGAACCCGAACCGAACCAAATCGAACCGCTGCAGCAAGAGCAACTGCTAAGCAATTGTGTAAATATTTATGTATATAAATATTGCTATAAAATCATATTGAGGTAACAGCAGGTACTAACAAGTGTGCATAGTGCAGTTGGGCATAACTGACTGCATGATACTCGCTCACGGCTGTATGAATAACGGAAAGCAGTCCTAACCAATCATAAAAACAAAACCAATATGCTCACTTTTCACTTGGAAAGTGTTGTTTCGTTTATATGCAAAACAAAATTTTTAATATGTCTGCAAATATTAATTGTTGCCAGAAGGTAAATAATGTATAGCTAGATAGATAATAAACTCAATATGAGTTTCCCTTTAACACATTCCTATATGACTCCATATCAAATCTGTATCTTAAAGTAATAATTATATATAAAATCATATAAATATTTCGATGCAAGATTTGCCATTATGGGACCGTTCAAGGCGGCGGCGGCAGTGGGTGCTCAATGTTTTTACGGCATTAAAGAAATTCAGTGTTTAAACAAAAATTCACTCGACTAACATAAACAAAGGCGATTATTAGCTTATTGCTGCCAATTTAATTTTTCAAACTGTTCAAGAGCGAAAATCGAAAATTATATATTTAATAGTAGGTAATAAATAGTGAGTAATGAACAATGAGCGATGAATAAATGATGTATGTAAAATGAATAAGGAATGAATAGTGAATATATAAAACGAATAAATAATTTTCAAAAATTAAGAAAATATAATTAATTTTGAATAGTAAATAATGAATTAAAAATACATAAAATTATAATGATAATTAATTAACGTTATAAATAGTTTGTTTGCTAATTAATTTCATCATTATTCATTATAAATGAAATAAATAAAAATCATAATAAATATTCAAACAATAAATAATTATTAAGTTTAAAAGAAAGGGAATAATTAAAGACTAGTAATTTATGACGAATAATCTTAGTAAAATTGTTGAAAATAATAAATAAATAAATAATTTACAATTCATCATTCATCAAATGTGACCAATTCATCAAAAGTAATACTTAGTTTACCATCTAGCTGAACTCTCACTATTATTTGAATTTCCTGGAAAAATAACCTTTCAAGCAACTCATAAATTGTTGAAGAAATTGTTATTTAGAGCTCGGGGGCAATACGTGTGATAAAGTTGAGAGTGTCTCGGCATACTTAATGCATGTTTACGCCAACTGAAGCCGCCGCTGAGCTGTAGGACAGTGTCCTATGCATACTGATGAGCAGCGACGACTAAACAGCGTAATGACTATAAAATTGTATTGATTTAAAATTGGTAAAGGTCATCGAGAGAATCTCATATGTAAAATGTGAGATATTTGAATTGCTAATGATTTTGATTTAACAGTTTGGGCGATTTCATATATTTTAGACATTCGAAATATTTCTTAGCGGTGAATTAATTTGCTCTCAGCTTGATTTTTGGCTCTTTTTTTTGTTGTCTGAGTTTGTCGATTCGGGCACAAATAACAAATAGCCCGAATTCTTGACACGAAAATAAAAATCACTACAAAATGAAAATAGCTTTTACAACACGTAGACTCGAATGGATGCTTAAATAGCGACGTAATAAGCGAAATGTCAAAATACAAATAAGTAGAGAAATAAATAAAAACGCATGCAGCCAAGCACAGTAAATACGCGCTAACAGCAACTGCAACCAACTGCTTGCCAAATTAATTTACGATTTCGAATGATTTCTTGGTTGCGCCTGAAAGTAGGCAACGCAATTGCGTTCGACACACTACTAACATTTTCGCTTGACTGTATGTAAATATGTAATATGCTTATTAATAACAGACTTAAGTTGAGCATAATTTAAACTAATTGAATTTTTGTGTTTTCTTTTGTAGATGTTGGGCACAGCGTTGCTTGGCAAACGGGCCACAAAGGTGAATTTAATATCTTAATCAGTTCTTCAAAATTATTTTTATTAACTATTTTTCTATTCTAGCCCGTTAAAAAGAAACCCTTCACAGACGTTGAAATAAGCGGTAAGTAAAATATAAAATATAAAAATATATATACTATTTTTTATATTTTTCAATATGCATTTATATATAGTTATATTATACATAATTATATACACAGATATAAATGCACAATATAACTTTCTAATGTTTAAGCAATCTAAATAATACATGCATAATGCCGCATCTAGTATTATTAATATATCATTTTATTATTATAATTAATTAATTTAAATCAGCAAACAAAGCACTCGTTTAGACAATAAGCACACTGCGTATACGTAATCTATAATATGTGCATAATCTATAATATATTTAATATGTAATGTATAGTATTTAACATAATTAGTAGCGTGAGACACATAGACTGAACTGACTTGCCTCAACAAATGCTCCCCTAAATATAAATGGCTAATAGACAGTCGCTTACACGTCGTATACGTAACGTGGCCAACCGACTGCATTGCACATTGCATACATTTATATAGAAATGCATGCACTTTTGAACTGAAAGTCTGAAAGTCTAACAGTCTGACAGTCTCACAGTCTCACTAAATTTAGACTTGGCCGCCTTTAGCGTGTCGCCAAATGCTAAAATTAATTATGGCTGTCTGCTGGCGTTGCTTTCACTTCTTCTCTCTAATGTGCAGCTAAATAGATCGTTTATTTTTGGCAGCTGAACGAGCGAGTTGAACAGGTGCACTGATTGGTAAACAGTTTGCGGGCCGATTGAAGAGCCGCCCAATTCCATTTTCAGGGCTGCGTCTTTAATCTAATCAAGACATCCGCGAAAATCGAAAAAATTTAATTTAATTAATTTGTCCGCCTTCGCAATTGCTGATAGCGAAATTCAGGTTGAGATCACGTGAAACATTTCCTGACACAAAATTAGCTTGGCCCCATCTTTCTCAAGCCCCGTCCAAACAAAGTGAAATTTATATATCTTTTCGCCAGTTTGTTTATACCAATGTATATATAATCATTATTATCATAAGCTTTGCTAAGCTAGCAAATCTATTCACATCTTGTTTTCAACTTTCTGTAAATTTTTCTTCTTCTTGTCTGCTCGCATTACTCATTTATGATGTTGAGCAAAGAACGAGGCGTGCATGAATTATAAGCTTTCTACGGCAGCAAATATTGGCCAAGTGTTGCTCTGCTGTCCTCCCAACGTCTTATCAAGTTGATATGACAGCTTGCAAAAAGTAACTCAATTAAAACTCTTACCAAAATAAACAGAGGCAATGAAATACTCTATGTGGAACTTCGGTTTTGAAATTTGAGTATAGAGGAAATACTTTATTCTACTCTATGGAACTCCCATATAATACTGGATTAGTATAAATAGTTTAATCATGAATATGAATCACGCTGAGTTATTCAACATTTATCTATGAAAGAGTACATAAAATATAATTTTTAGAGATATGCCTAAATACCGATAAGTCTACTTTATAGTTTATCTAACTGAAAGACAGCTCTATTTTGAACAGGTTCAATGAGCCAGAGGATTATCAGGAAATGTTTAACGTCCAATACCTTACTCTCAATCAATCTGTTATAGGATAGATCATTATATAAAATATGATCATAAAAAGTTTGTAGAAGTTGACTTTTCTCAAGATTCTTCTTTATATCATATATCTTAATAATAGACTGATCGATTGTACGGTAGAGTATTATCATAAAAACTTGATTTACTAGACATAAGGTTACTCTATACTTCATATCTATTATTAAAAGCTCATTCTATCAATCTAGATACAAACGACAAAGAGTATCATAAGACAATAACGTAACATAAATCACAATTATATATCTCATATCCCACGCTCCACCTACAATATTTCTCTTTTCATTTCGCTAATCGAACGCAAGCATTTTGTCAACTTTCAATTAAAATTTACAGACAGATCTCATGTAGAGCACGCTGATAACCCATGAACAAAGCAGCCCACTTGTAAATCCCAGACACTTGTCTTCTCATTGCATTCGGTTTTCATTTGTGGAGTAAGGTCTTACGTATCTCATCATAATCTCTATAAAAAATAAAAGCAAATAAAGGCCGGCAATCAAAACATTACGACACATGAAATACATATTTATATGTATCACAATATATATGCTTACAGGGTATACTTGCTTAGTTACTTGCATTACATTAGCACAAGTCATGAAATCAGCGTCGACAAGTTCGAACTGATAAAAAAAAAACTGTGTGTTGGTTCTCGTAATACTATTGCAGTTATCTCCAGGCGTGCCTATCACAACAACAACAACAATAACAACAGTACCAACAAAATGAAATATAATACAATATAACATATACTACACAAACATTCTCTTTCGCTCCCGCTCTCTCTTTCTCTCTATCTGTCTCTTTCTCCCTCGCTCTCTGACCAAAAACAAAATATTTTAGCCATTATCTTTGGAGTTTCGTAGATAAATCGTACAATGGGGCTTTAGCATTTCAGCCGGAGCACTTACAGTTCCAGTACCTAAACCAGAACCAACTGACTATATACCACTGAAATATGATCCGCTCTACGGTCGCCTAACCGAACCTGTTAATTAAGTGATCGATTGTTGATAAAAGTACGAAAAAAAAGAAAGAAAACGAAAATATTAATAAAGAGCGGCAAACACACGGTTTTTTTTTATTATTATTATTGCAAATATGAGCAAAGATGATAAGTGTAAGTAAATAATACAATATTAACTCTGAGGTATTTTCCAAAAATGGCAACACGCGTGGACTTCAATCTAAATTTTGATTAGAGAACAGAATACTTCTGGTGTCGATTGGCCCGTCGTGTGGGCTCGTGATTATGAATTGCAATTTAGTTCAGTGATCGAGTGAGTGTGTCGCATTCCCTAATTTAGTATGTCAACAGGTGAATGTGTTTGAAAATAAGATATACTAGCTGAATGCTAAAGAAGCTTAAAAGCTAAATCTTTATTAACTTGAATAAAATGTCAAAATTCTAAAGAGCTGCTTATAAAGTAGAACCAAATATTAAATACTTTAATAAATCGAAAGACTGTATTCTAAAATCTCCAAATATCTAAGTGAATCTTATGAACTCTGTCATTTTTTTTTTACTTTCGTATATAGATATATAAGAAAAATTGCGTTAAATTTGATAAATCAGAAATTCTATACTTCAAATGTGGGTTTTATATAGATGATTTAATCTTAAAACTTTATCAAAGCCCCTCTATGCCATTTTTAAATTGTAAAATTTTGAAGTGTTTTTCAAATAGCTCTAGGCTTTTTTTAAGCTCCCACTCTATCAACTTCAACAATATTCAGACTTTAAATTGTTTTACTTACGTAAAATCCTGTATACCGATAAATATATTGATCCGATAGTCTAGCTACTGTTACTCAATGGCCACAACAATTGAAACTTGGTCAACAATATTGACAGCAACGTCAAATGCAATTTAACGAGATGGAAGCCTCTTTCAGTTAGCAGACTCACACTCAAATCCAGCTTAAATATGAATACGATTAGTTCAGGTATATACTATATACATTTTTAACATCCATTTATTGTGCTCCACTCCAATTAAAAAAATTTAATAAAACATTTTGCCATCACAGACGCCCGCACAGCCCAATTATTGCTAGCAAAATTTTCTATCTAGGTTTGAGTGTGCTGACAACACCCTCACTCACACACGGACACTCACGCACATAGACAACACACACACACATATATACACATACACACCCGCAAAAACATGTGTCAGTTGCCTTTTAATTTGTTGCTGATGGAAAGTGACAAGCGATATAAAAAAAAGATATATACAAAGGGACCACGCCCCTTTTGTATCTGTTGATTTATGATTACGTAACTTTTTGCGCAACAATTCACTTTTTTGGTGCTTTTTGAAGACTTCTCTAGTTGAGTTACGAGGCAGCAGCTCAAATTGCCAGTAAAATAATTAAGAACTGAAAAGGGAAAATGAAAATGAAAAGTCGTTTGCAATGAAAAATGAGACAGTTTTCCTTCGGCAAGTGTCACAGCAGAAGCTGCGAAAGGGAAATATATTTGTATATAAATTCTAAAAATAATAAAAAACTACTTTTTATATATTAGAAATTAGTTAAAATACCCGTACATATTAATTTAAAAGTAAATCATAAATAAATATAAAATTTGTTATATTTTTAAATGTTTTAACTAAATTTAAATTTAACATTTATATGACCTATTAACAAGCTATATCAAAATATATTTTAATTTCAAATGCTGAGGGAGAAAATATATTAAAAGCGTGCCAAATGCATATTTATATTGACTGCCTTATCGCATGTCCTTCAGCCTGTATATTGGCTTGGTCAATAGGATTTTTAAGCTGAGTGCACGTTTCGGCCATTAAGCCCTTTGATGTTGCGAGTACTTTTGATTGGCTTTTTTATATTTTCAATTTTTTTTTTTTATCATATGTGCAAATAGCCCATATAGAGGTTTTTAATAGCATTCCCAAAGAGAGGCTAAAATATATATAAGTTAACACAATCGACCAGCAAAACATAAATGTTCAGATTGATCACGCGCCGTCAGCATGAATGTAGCCGTTCCCAGCGGATATTGCACAACAGCAGCAGTGGCTCCAACGCGCAACAATGTTGTTGCCCGAAGTAATGCGATGCCTCGCGTAAATATGCAATGTCAGCATAATCAGGGTTTAGGGCTAGCTTTGGATATAAGAATTTATGTCACTGTACTTTAGTTGATTTTTGATAATAAAGAACGTCGGTCGTCGCCACGGGATTATTGAAGTCTACTCATTTTGTGCAACACCGCACACTAACATCTAACAACTACAGCAAAAAAGCTTAATTGGCGCCCAACCGAAACGAACCCAAAAAACAAAAAAAAAAAAAAAACGAAATTAAAACTTCGATTAAAACAAGCATTCAGTGAGATAAATACCCCACAAGTGCAAAAAAAAACAGCAAGACAACTAAAACGCATAACCAAAACGAAAAAAGAAAAAAAGAAAGCAGCATT